CGCACCTTCAGATGTGTGCGCAGCTACTTGGAAGGCAATGAGGGACACACAGATGTAACGAGACAAAGTTGCCTCACGTGGGACCAACGTTTCTGGCCACACAAGTCTGCAGCTCAGTGATTTGGGGCCTGCTCTGCTGCGTGTGGTACGTCTCACTCACTGGGGACACCGAGGTGTTCAGCGATGACCCTACAATTCCGGAAATGGAGAGTAGAAGGGTCCTGATGCATCCCGAGAGGGCACCTTTTCACCTACCCTACCTCCTATACAAGTCTGTTGATCAGTGCTATCTCCAATACGATCTGCTCACACTACGCTATCTCTGCAAAATCTGCCTGTACTGTTCTCCCGCGACTGAAACATGGGAGAGCCCCTCAGAGGTGCCTTGCATCGTTCTTCTAAATCACAGCTCAGATCAAACTGCTTTCCCGGCCTGTGGGGTACAACACAGAAAACAAGCCATGATCCCCATCTGTACAGCATCAAGCTTTGTGCAGAACGCCTGATATTGGACAGGTGTTGACAATGTGATAGCATTGCTTGGGGTACAGCAATAGCACCAGGCACGAGTACCTCTGCATTCTCACCAGGACTCTCCAGCACCTTTCATTTACATACAAAACCCGTTTTGGTACACGTTAGAACTATGAGGAAACAAAGAGTCAAAACAAAGCTACTTTTCTTTCTCTAGTCTTTTTCCTTTTTTCTTTTATTTCTTTATTTTGGCTCCAAAACTGAAACACAGACCATTTATTTCACTTGACCTTACAATTATACTGCAGATATATTTGTCAGATGTAGCTTCTTTTTTAATGATAGAACAAATTTAACACAGCTATTTACTATTTTGGAATGTTTTCCTGGTTTAAGTAAATTCCATATGCAAGGGAAAGGAATATGGAATTTACTTAAACCAAGAAAATGTCATTATTTGCCATAAGGCAAACATATATTGTACGTGTTAAAACCCTATATGGCCAATTTCTGAGCAAAAATAAAAACAGGCAATTTCTGGAGCAGGGCTGAGAAGTGCGGGACAGGGAATTTGGATTTCAGTCTGAGCACTCGGGGAGACGGAAGAGCCACCTGCTGAGCCAGGCATGAGACATACGGCCTTGGCAGAGAAGGAAAGAAGAGAAAGACTGAAGCTTGCTAGACTTTGTCTCTGTTGACTTTTGTTTTTTGTTCTAACTACCAAAGTGGACTTAACTGCCTCCTGTACAGTCCTGTGCAAAAGTCTACAATACCCCCACCCCCAAATTTTTTTTTAAAAGGCCAGCTTGCAATATCTCATCAGGGCTCCTTTCTTAGAAAGTTTTCTATTCGGCTCTAAAAATCAAAGCTGCCTAAAGGAAAGGATGCTTGAACTCAGTGTCTTGGCAAACTGTTGAAGGCTTCTTCCTTCTACATGCCAAATTACAAAGAAAATCCAATCCTATCATCTGGGGAACATGAGAATGAAAATAAAATTACTCAAGTGAATTATCACCTCTGCTAATGCTGAGAAAGCAACTTAATTATTTTATTACATTACATAACTAAAGCTACCTTAAGATACAGCTGGGGAGAAATACAATCAAGACCAGTAGGCAATACATAAGAAATTAACCTCTATCAGCCTGATCTTTAAAACTGTCAGCATTTATTTGTGAATGGAAAATCGAGAGCACCACCAGGTACCTAATCAGCCCCTGCCTTTATTGCAATCCCATTATGGTCATAGCCAATTAAATCTGATACTATTTTTTCAGATATACAATTAGTTATGATTAGACACAACTGCACTGCCTGCATTCCTTCTGTATATACAAAACTTGAAATTGAACAGTAAAACAGGGCCCAGGTTGTCTTCAAAGCAGCTTTGAGCTTCTTTTTTGAATCCCACAGATGCTGAGAAAAAAGGATAGAGTTTCAACAGGTTGCAGGCTAATGCATCCTTTACAAGCAGAGGATTGCAAAACTTTTACAAATATGTTAATTGTTGGGGTGCCTGAGTGCACTAATGAGCCATAACAGCTTCAATGTGCCTCACCTGGGCCCTCATGCAGGCCCGCCCTCTCAGGGGCTCATTTAAGCTCAGGTCAGGGCAACCACTCTCCCCTTGAGCTATGTAGTGGCTGGGCCTATCTTTAGCTCATCTCTGGCACCATCTTCCCAGCTGGCCCTGGGACACCCTACAAGCACTTGGCCTTGGGCTGTTGTGTTCAGGTATGTTGGGACAAGGTCATGGTGGGTGGTTGGTCCATTGCCCTCAGCCCTGTGCGGCATGGCCCTGCTCCCTGATGCCAGCACTCTCTTGATGAGGTGTCCCTGCTTTTGTTCCCCAGGACATGGGTAGGCTTGGCCACTACCTCTACATGGTGGAGGAATGTCAACTGCATACGTTTTGTACCAAGGAAACTTAATGTGACATATGTGATACCCAGAGCCTCAAAAATCTACCAGAATCTGATTTTTTTTAATCATCCTTCTAAGAATAACATTAAATTTCACCAAAATCCTATTTAACTCACCTGTATGGATATGGCTTGGGAAAATGTACCAGCTGCCTTAAATAACTAAATCAGTAGAGGTTGTTATGCAACCTTCATATTTTAGGAATAAAAACTGCTTCCTGTACCCCACATGCTGCTCAATGTTTGCAATGCTTTCAGTAGGGTCACACTGTAAAGAATGCTCTTTCTCACTAAAGCATTTACTACCATTTACTGTTGAAATAGAAAATAATTTGCATTTGAAATGGTGATGTTATCCTTAGCTTACTCAAGTATTGTGGAACTTCTTTATGCTGCAGCAGTATAAAGAAAAGGGAAATCTGTATATGAATGCAGCAGGCCATTAGAGGATTTGAAACAGATGTGGTTAAGACTATTGGCTTTAAATTTCTAAAAAAAAAAAAAAAAATTTTGGAGAGGATTTTAAATGGCCACCAGATGTCCTCATTTTTATAGAAACATTCAGATTGCTAGTACTGCAATCTGTATCTGTGCCATCAGAGACAAATACCAGCAGGAGTGGGCCAAAATCTTCAGGTGGGATAGCAGGCTGCTATTTAATGAGAAAAATCTTAACAGTGATTGCTACAGGACTGGTTATTTTATGCTGAGAGTTTAATTTAGCTACACCTGGAAGCACTTTCTTGCTGCCCTTGTGGAGCACCCCTTGCTCCCTGGCAAGGAGGAGCTGATGGGAGCCCTGGTGAAGGGAGCTATGTCTGACATTCCCCTGAGCCCTTGATGCAAATTTGCTCAGGGCATTCCCCTGGCATTGGGGCTTTGCTAGGCCGCGGTGCCTCATCTGTGCTGGGCTGACAGCTCAGGGTACTGCTGGCCCTTGGTCAGCCCAAGGCTGAGCAGATTGACAGAACTGCTGTGAGATTAAATTTAATCAAATTTGATTTTTAGAAAGCTTTTAGTGACTGCATACAGGGGAGGAAGATGATTAACCCAATAACTCTTAATCTCAAACAGCTTAGCTGTCCTTCAGACAAATACAGTGCAATCAATGCTATTTGCACTTCAATATGGTGAAGCTTCTTTTTATAAAGAGATTAAATGGGAACCGCAGATTGCTTTAAACCTGTGCCAAGAGTCATTCAGGTTATACTGAAACAGCAAAGTAACAAGCTGATATAGTATGATGATCTCAAAATAAAAGGGGAACTAGCAGCCAATGCTTACCTGAGGTGTCTTAGCCAAATTCTTTTGAAACCTGGTCTCAAGCCAGCCAGCTAATTGGGCACTTAACTACTCTTTCTCAAAATTAGAGTTAGGACCCCCTTCCTACCATAAGCTCCCTTTTTACTTTTCATCCTTACTGCCAACTACATAGTAGGGAATTTAAGCAAAAGATGAGATTAACAGAGCTAAGCAAACGAAGGGAAAGCAAGGGCCGTTGTGGTCTTTGTACACATCTGTGGCTCTCATGCATGAAGGTAAAGGGAGCTGTAGGAATGATCAGCATCCTGAAAAGCACTGTTGCTGATAAACCACAAAGGTGTAGGGTATTTGATGTTTATTTTTGGTCTTCTGCTTTTCTAAGCTCTTGAGCAGCTGTCAAGGAGGATAGTGCTAGGGTGACAGTAATAGGCTGGGAAAGAGGAGTAAGTTTGGCTAAAATGGTAGTCTTTTGACTGTTTCCTTTTTCCCCGAGCTGAAAATTGAGTAATGTTTTGGGTAAATTCCAGTTTCAATTATTAGTTGGGTTAAATTTAACTCAAATCTAGATTTAAATGCTCCACTTGAATTATACCGTGTGAGACTCATGTTACAAAGCATAAATTCTGCAAAGATTATGAAGACAGAAGTGGTTACAATTTTGCGTTTTACTAAACTGCTTGCATATGCTTATCCTTGGGCACTAACAGTTGAAAAACAGATTCAGTTTGTGATACTGTTAAGGGGAAAACTGAAGAGACTTCTTTAAAGCATTGCAGAAGAAGGAAATTGCACAAATCATTTTTTTAAGAGGACATTTTCCCATAGCTTGTGATAACATTAAAGATCTTCAACATCAATGACACTGATGAAGCAATGTGCAACAGCAGGTCTACCCAGCTGGGAGATGAACCTTGTTCAATGGGTTCCTTAGCAGGACTCCTTTGTATTTTCTAATTTGTGGATTAAAAATCATTTGCAACTTCTCTGTCACTGCATGTGTGAAAGCAGTGTCTCTTGCTGGGCATGAACAGCAAATGGCCCATTCCCACAGTGTAAACTGATAGCCTTGTGGGGTTTTTGCAGCCTTTTTTAAAGGCAAGGCCAAGTGAGAGCAGTTAGGTCCAGCTTCCAGCTAGAGCAGTAGTTTGAAGGAGGAGTGGAAAGGGGGAAATACTATTTACAGCTGTCACCAAAACTTTGACATGTTTCAGTGTCACACTGCAGGCTGAGCAGAATGAAGTTAGACTACAAAACAACACAAATCCAACAAAGCCATTCACATCTTCAGCAACCTTAGGTTTTCTCCACCTTTTTAACATACTGCCTGGGAGAAGTAGCTGATACAGGTAAAATACTAGGCTGTTTCACCTCAGCATTGCACTCCTGGCTGGGCTAACAGACCTGGGTTGTCCTTCTGTGCTTTTGGCATACCCAGAGGCATACCGGACTATAACAGTCGATGGTAAACGTTCCCAGTATTTTACTTGCCCTAAGCAAGCAGAACAGAGGATCTAACGTGTGGCCCCTGAGGAAGCAGAACCCAGCACAAGTGAGAAGTTTCCAGTACTCTAACCAAGCAGTCCAACACAAGGAAGACTACTGCTAAGATAAGAATACTTAACATTTCACCTCAGGAAAGAAATCATTCTCCTTTTATCATGGAGGCAAGAAAAAAACTAAAGGCTTGGAAAGCCTACAAAAGCTAGTTCAGCTATAGTAAAGACACACAGAGCAGGTTTCTTAACAGTTTCATAAGGAGTGATTATAAATTTATAAGCACTCACATTTTTATACATCTCCATTAAATCTTTTCTCATTAACTACATACACCTTCTAAAAACACACTCCTACCTCCAGAATATTTCATATGCTGAGAATGAATACAAGTTTTGTCTAAAACTTTCAAGGTGTGAATATCCTACTGTAAAAAAAAAAAGTGCAGTTGACATACACAAGTGGAAATGATTGACTTCTAGACACAATGTACAAGCAACTCTTATATTATACTGCTAAAACAAACTGCAACATCCAATGTAGGACACCCACAGGCCTTCCTGTGCTTCTCCATCAAATGATTTAACCCACAAACCTGCAGGTGCTGTTGACTGAGTCTTCAGGGCAATGGTGGTGGCACTGGCAGGACAGTTTCTTCTGTGGAGGGGCAGGTGCTGTGCTCTCGCTGTCGTCTTTTCTGTTCTCCATGCTCAACTTGCCAGAACTTCGCAAGGGCATGTTGTCTAGAAAATTGGCTAGAAATACAAGGGGGGGGAAAAGAAACATTTCTAGGCTGAACTGCAAGACTTGAAGGCTTTAAAACACTTCTATCCATCAAAATTAGAGCAGGTGCTTTGCACCCAGCAAACTGTGCTGAGTATTTGTTAAAGATCAGTTTTCACTAGAAGCTTCTGAAATGGTCACCATGGTGGTTGGGGCTTATTGGGCCTCAGTGACATTAGATCGAAGGAGCTGATGTTCGAGTTCTGCCACTGCCAGTGTCACAAACATATGCTGTGTTTTTCAGAGCACAGCTTTTCTCCTATTGGATTATGTAGGTCAACTCCTTGGTTACACCTTTGCACTTTCTTTGTCTTTATACTTGGCACACATTTATATCCACTGAACCCTATAAAGCAGAGTGGAATTTACAGTGCTTAACACAGAGCAGAACATGGGCATAAAATTTAACAAAGATTTGAAAGAAAGTCATGTTTCTTTGAGTTCTAAATCTTTACAAAGGCACTTTTTGTCACTGAAGTTAATAGGTGTTATTTGGAAAACAAGGAGAATAGTTTATATATTTATGAAAAACCCTTTCTATAAAAAACCAAGTAAAAGGCTAGAACGTGTTCTAGAATGAACAATGCTGAAATAGAGGTGACCAGTTCCTTCTAAAAATATATTGGTGGAATATAGCTAGAGATGCTGGTGATGGGCTAGGAGCTCTTTAAGCGTCTTTTTTTCTCCCCAGCTCTTCACAGGCACTGAAAGCTGATATTTAGGAGCATATTTTAAGCCTCAAAGACAAAAATGAGATCAGCCTGAAAAGCTTCAACTGGCAGTTTCATGCTTTGCTTCTCCATAAGAAATCTTACTCAATGGTCATTTCCAAGCAGCTCTCTCCAACAGAGTAGTTGAAGAGCAAGCTTGAAATTCTTGACTTCTACTGTTAAATGCTTAGAAACAACTGGCATTAGTTTTTGCTTTTGCTGTTTGGCTCCTGAACCAGTGCTTTGGCTGTAACTAAAATCTTCCCCTACCCTCCATCACTAGGACTGATATACTGTTGAAATGACAGACAGCTAGCCTTCCCAGCTCCCTAGGGAGAGAAGGGGAGGACAAATGGGCTGAGGTGATGGCTCCGTGGAGCTACTCCCATGTGTGGATTGCAAGAAACAAAACTGAGGCAGCAATGGGCTTAAAGGTCCTGAAAGCGCAGAGGAAGAACAGGGCTGTTCAGTCAGCCCAGCTTTTCTTGAGGACAAATTAAATCTATTCTGTGCTTCTGGGGGGCCATGGACCCTCCTGCACCTCGAGTGCTGTACTCTTCCTGCATGAGTGCCACCTGCATATGGGTGGGGAGGAGCAATAGCAACCACATATGCTTTAGTGTGCTTCACTGTAACATGAAGGGTGTCCCTAGCAAGCTGGGAAAAAGCTGAAACTTGCCCTGAGAAGCGGGGCTTGATATGAAAGAACAGCTCATTCAGAAGTGTGGTAGCTTCTTGAAGACTGTGTCCCTTCCATTCCTGTTTCATCAATATGACAGAATGTGATATTCCTTGCAAAAGATAAATACTAAGGTGATCCATATGAAACGCAAAATTCAATGCAAGAGACATTAAAATTTATGCAATAGAAAATTTATAGGGCCTGATCTTCTGAGTTGCTCAGCACCTGCTTATCCCATTGAAACCAACTGGTGTTTTGATAGCTTATCTCCTCTAAGTCAGACCAGAAAACAAGTTATAAAACATACCCAGACTATGGGTTTGTAACTCTTGGGCCTAGCATCAAGATATTAATGGGGTGCAAGACAAAACTTGCTGTCACAAAGTCCCTTAGGGCTTTTTAATAACCTTGGCAAAATTAGACCTAAATAGATCAGTTCACACAAGATGCTATGAATAAACAGGAATACAATGCTATAATTTAAGATGCAGTAGGTTCCTAAAGTGAGGAAAAGAATGCATTGTGATCTGTTTCCCCTTCTCTAATAGGATTATGACATTTTAAAATCCAGCCGGTGCTCAACAAATTAGCATCAACAGATGTTTGCTCTCTGGATGTTTGCTCTCTGGGTCACAGGATTAGAGAATATTAAACAAAATCTTTCAGTGGGCAAATTTTGTCCATTTTCCATTGTCCCCATTGCATGGGGACTATTAACTATTAAAAATATGCCTGTTGAGGATTTTCACATTTCTAGCTTGTAAGGCAACAAAGTTAAAATATCAATACTGAGTGAAACAGTATGCTCTGTCTTCCACTTTTGACTTCTAGTTATCTAACAGTCCAACAAAGGAAGACTGCAAAAATGAATGTATCTTAAATCTCCTGTAGGAAACAGGAAAGGGATAATTGCACATTTGAATGTGCCTGAAGATGTCAAATTTAGATAACTAAATACCTTTCTCATAAAATATACAACTAGGTCTTTCATTTCCTCAACCAACCTATAAGGCAGCTGTACTCCACTGAAATCTGTGTATCCATCACCCATCAGCAATGTGATCAAGAACAGCTTTGGCAGAATTTGCCATAGACAACAGTAACCTGCATCCCTAGATTTGTCTGTCATTTTAGTTAAAATGAAAGGTAGGTGTTGCCAAATCAGAATTTGAAATCTGAACTACCAAAAAAGCCACAGGTAGCTAAAGAGGGATGTAATGTGGTTTTAGAAGACTTATAAGGGACAAGAGGCTGCAATTCAAATCTACACTTTTCAGGAGTTTAAATAGGGGTTGTAGACTAGGATTTTGCTTTCAGCTCATGTTCAGTGTCAAAACTAGGGAAAATCACTGCCCTTTAATGTATAATACATGCAATCAAATACAAGTAAAAGAGGCAGGAAGACAACAGATACTTTAAACCAGACCCTACCCCATCTTAAAAGAGAAACTCTTCTTGCTCCATTCCCTTAATCCTTCCAGACCTTACAATTCCTGGTGACTAGCTTTTAAAAAACAAACAAAACAAAGCAAACAAAAAACAAAACCACTTTTGCCTGCCAGGTTCAGGTATCTTGCCCAACAGCAGACTGGAATACTTAAGAAGTCTTCCTCTTCTCCCACTCACAGCTGAATTTCAAGAGTCTTTTGTACTCTACCCCTATGTGATTTTTGGTGCAGAAGAATTCTCAGCAGCCCATTACCAAGATATAACATGCGTAGGAAGAATCCCATCACCACAAGAGACTTCCAGGGTTTGGCCGTGAGTTCTTACTGTTTTCTTTCTACTAGTCACTGGGTATGCACTGCAAGCTGCTACTCCTACATTGATCAAAGAGCCTGGTGATGTACAAGGAGGAGTCTTTTCCAGGAGGCTGTGTTAGGAGGCTCCAAAAGACCGAGACCTTTATCAGCTTATTCCAGGGATCTCCTTGTCGGTAGCAAAGCAAACCGTGCCACTGCAACTCTGTGTAAGCATCGTTACATAAAAGCTAAGTGAATTTAATTAGGCCTTGCCTACTAAAATTATACTTTTTTTGATTGGTACTATTGGAAGCAGGTGTAAAATGTACAGTCTGGGTGACTAACAACCTACTGCTCTCATGTCTGCTGCCATGCTGTGACACTGGCTATGCAGTCCCAGCTCCGTATAGGGATCAGAAGCCCTTTGGGCTTTGAAAACTCTCCCAAGGAACTATGTCCAAGTGCCCTGAATGACAGTGGTTTCCAGGTTATTGGAGCTTGGCTGCTTCTCTCTGCTACGGTGTATTCTGCTGCAGTCGGCTGACAGCCAACTTCCTGCTCTTGCTGAAGGGAGCACAGCTTAGGACAACTGCAGAAAAATACTGGTACTGGAAACAGAAGGTTATTGTATTCTGCTGAGAGAAACTTATGAAGCCCCAGATTAGAGGCTGCTGCTAAGCTTTGGGTAGGAGAGATTGCCTGAGGACAGACAGGCTGGAGGTGACAGCAATAGCAGGGAAGCCATGGAGGGAAAGAATGGAGAGTAGGAGTGACAGCTGAGAGGAACAAAATGCAGTGAGGTCCAAGGGAACAAAGTGGGAAAGAATGGAGGAAATAGTGGAGCCTGCCCTGATTTCATCAGGGAATTGGTCAAAACAGTTGAGAGCCTAAACAGTCAGTAGACCTACACCATTTTATCCAATTTAGTTAGTTGCTCAGCCTATCCCTCCTTTTGAACTAAAAATCACCACTACGTACCAAGTATGTCTCCAAGTACAAATATTTTCCTCTATGGGACTGGGAATCCCTCTAAACTGATGTGGCACCCTCTGCTATGAATGCCGGCCTGGGAAAGGGGACTGGGTGATCACAAACATGCCTCATTTTTCCAAATAGGTCAGTGTTTCTCTACACATCTTGCTTCACCCTAAGCTCCTCTATCACCAAGGCAGTCTTTATAGAAAGGTATCACTAGAAATATCCAGAAGAAGGAAAAAACAAGAAACTACATGATAAAGGGCAGTAAAATGAAAGCATTATCCTGGACTACCATGGGGATGACTACAGTATCTAGCTTAAACTCCTGTCCTCAGTGCCAACAAATAAACCCTCTTAGGAATTTAGACTTTATGGTAATCTGTGAGCACTAAGCCCTCTCATCTAAATACTAAATTCTCCCTTCTCATGTGGTAAACCCTATCATGTTTTTTCAGCTTGTTTTACTCCTCAATGATAGAGAAATGGTAACAGATGCCCATTCTATAACCACAGCGAGCACCTGATACTCATCAGGATGAATTATATTTTGGTTTTAAATAATGCTGTTAACATTGTTTTAACAAACAGGTCTGCCGACAGGTTCATCGCACAGACAAGGAACACTACCCATTTGAGCTCCTCTGTATTGACCCACCTCGGCACCCAAAAACTAGGCCTAGAGAGACCATCTTTTATGTATGTTCAGTTCTCGTGCTCTCTGCTGTGGCTGCCAATAAGTACTCCAACCTCTGCCAATTATAGCAGTAGTTAGTTATGTGATTTGGACAGGAATTTCTCCACTAGCATCTGGCCATAGACCAGTAACTCATTTCACACAGGCCCAGAGCCATCAGATGGTA